CACATCTAAGATGGTCCTCCAACCTTTCTCCTCCTCGAGCTTCTCGATGTCCAGATCCTCGACCACCTCCCACGCTCGACCATTCAGGCCCTGCATGATCTCCAAACCTACTGTCCTTTCTTGTTCTCTACCACGAGCTCGCGCTGCGAAGATCCCCACCTTCCGTCGGAAGGTCTTGCGCCCGTCGATCGAGCCATCGAACTCTGGAGCTCGACCCAGGAATCCAGAGGAGAGCTGCTGTCCGTCTCCAGCTGCTGCGGCACGCCCAAGCGCGCCTCCTGCTGCTACTGCTCCTCGTCCCCCTTTGCCGTCTGGTGGACCCATTGTTGAAGTACTTCTCTATGTCCGTGTCGGTATCCGTGGAGCTACTGCTCCGCTACCAATGTCAACTGCTCGACGCTCTCGAAGTCGTCAAACCCTCTCTCGAAATCCGTTTCCCGTCCTCGGCTGAAACGTCCTCGACACCATCCCCGATCTCGCTCTGCGGGCGGGGAGAAACGATGGTAGCCCTTTTGGTCTGCCGAGAGGCCTCTCGAGCTAAAGATGGCAATGGTGCTTGCTGTCGTGACTGCTGCTCTGCACTGCGTGCTGCACACATGCTCTGCCATGCCTGCTGGGGAGGGTAGTATCTAACATCTTATGTCAGAAAACCTCCGAAATACACTCGCAACTGCACTGTATGGAGTGCAATTCACAGGAGGAGGAGGAGGAGGAGGAAGGGCCAGGAGGAGCCGGTGGAGGAAGGTCAGGAAGAAGAGGGGGGGGAGGAGGAGGAGGAGGAGGAGGAGGAGGAGGCAGTGGAGGAGGAGGAGGGGGGGGACGAGGAGAATGGCAATAATAAAAAGAGGAGGGGGAGGAGGAGGAGGAGGAGGGGGAGGAGGAGGAGGAGCAAGGCTCCCAACTGAGGGCGGTGACGTCGCACGCGCCCACCACCAAGGCCCCCAAGAACGAGCGGTGACGCAACAAATTCTTACCACCAAGGCTCCCAAGAGCGAGCGGCAACGTAAGCATCCCTGGGCACGAGGACTCTGAACAGAGAGCGGCACCGCAACAAGCTCTTCCCAGCAAGGCTCCCAACAGAGAGCGGCGACGCAACGCGCGCTTGCCAGCAAGGCTCCCAAGAACGAGCGGTGATGCAGCAAACTCTTGACACCAATGTGGGAAACTGCTCAAACCAGACGATGTGTTTTGTGCGGGGGGCCGAAGGCGCTCCGAACGAGGACGCAAGCATGCTGGGCACAAAATCCGTCAGAAGAGCGAGAAGGACAGGGAGGGGGGGAGGGAAAGACTTGAGCGAAGTAAACGGCGGCGCATCACGCACGAGGCCCACGCGCGCCTCTTGCAGACCTAAATGTGGGAGACTGCTCAAACCAGACGCTGTGTTTTGCGCGGGGTCCGGGGGCGCCCCGACCGAGGGCGCAAGCACGCTGGGCACAAAACCCGCGCCATGCACGCTAGCTTGGCGCACTGGCCAGGAGGCCGCCCCGAAAACAAAAACATTAACACGAGGCGACAACTTTGTTAAGTCTGGCGACCGAGGCTAAACGGCGAGCGCTGCTGAGCGCTGCGCGCGCGCCCTCGGCGGCCGCGATCTTCGGAGCGCGGCGCGCCTGGGCCCGTTGGGCAACGCCCAGATGAGGAAGCCCGAGGGGCCCCAGATGAAACTTGTTTGGTCTGTCACACCTACCACGAGTGCCGTTGCGACGACTAGACAGCTTCAGAATACCATCGACGTGCCATCGACAGCTTCAGAAGACCAAGTCAGCTGCAGTGCATTCAACCCTCGAACACGCAAGCATCGAAACGCGCCTCCGACGAAACAGACGGCAGGAGGCGCGCGACGAGCGGGTGATGCCACAACGCACTGCTTGCAGGATGTTCTAAGATCGCAGGAACCCTACACTGCGCATGCACGAGTAAAGTTTGCAACGACGTGTGCACATCAGCATCGGCAGCTCTCACGCGCGTTTCCAAGAAGGGACTAAGGCCTGGGAGCCCGCAGGGCCGAACCGACGACCTGGCAGGGGGCCTGGCGCAGACGGGCCAGGAAGACAGCCCGGGCCGAAACCAAGACCCCGCAACGCACGAGCCGCGAATCCAGCCGTGGACGACGAGCGAGGCGCCAGGCGCGCCGAGGTCGTCGGAGGGGCCGCGGCCGGGATCCAGGACGACGGCGTCAACGCCCTGGCGGCGACAAGCGCTGTCTATTCGCCCGAGACCCGTGCCACACAGCAAGAAAATGAAGCGTGGAGCGGCAACGCTGTGAGAGATGGCCCCCCTAAAAGGGCTAGTCAGCCGAAGCGCCGCCTGCCGCTCAGCTGGGGAGCTCGCGCCCGCCAGCGCCAGCGGAGGCAGCGAGCGCGCCCCCGTCGTCGCCATCCTCGAGATGAGCTCGGCCTCTCGGCCCTCCACGGCGGGGCCCAGGGTCGCCGCGTGCTTTGGGGGGGGGGGGGGGGGGGGGGGGGGGGGGGGGGGCGATCAGCTGCTGCACGCAGGACCTCTCGGCGCAGCGGTTGAGCGAGGCGTCGGTGACCCACCTCCCGCGGCCTTTGGCGCCCTTCCTCGAGCGACGGCCCGAGAGGAGGTCGTCGGAGGCACCCCCGCGCCTCAGCGCGTGGAGGGTCGAGACGCCGTCCCAGATGCCCAGCTTGATCATCGCCTCGCGGAAGGCCAAGCGGATCGCCGACGGTGCGAAGTTCCAAAACGGGTCCTTCGCGGAGCGGTGCTGCTTCAAGCCCTGGAGGAGCGGCCAGAGGCAGGCGTTGTCCACAGTCGCACTCTCGTCTGTGACACCCGCCTTTCCTGGGCCGCCCGTCGGCGCGTCGTTGACGACCGTGCCCCAGCGCTGGTAGCCGTCGGTCGAGCCCGCCCTCAGCTCCACCGAGCTCCCCGCGACGAGCCGATAGGCCTCGCTCGGCCTCAAGTGCGCGTCGAGCGCCAGCCGCGCGAAGACCGCCCCCCCGAGCTTCCTCTCCTGGATGAAGAGGCCGACCACCGCTAGCATCGCCAGACGTGGCATTGGGAGCCTCATCTGGAGCGGCACGAGTGGCGCCCACCCCTTTGAAGGCCCGGGCGGCCCGTGGCAGAGGCCTCGGCACCGCCAGCATGTGCGGCAACACGCGGCGCAAGGCCGCCATCGTCATGCGCCCCGTCGCCGTGTCGAAGCCGCCCAGGCAGAGGTTCCCGAAGAAGACCTGCAGGAGTGCGTCCAACTCGGCGGCGCTCGCGAACGACTGGCCCGTCCACGTGCACCACTGGTGGAAGCGCATGGCGTGGGCTCCGTACGAGTCCAGCGTCCGCTGCGTCACGGCCGCGTTCTCGAGGAACGAGGTCTCGCCGCCCAGCAACCGAGCCGCACCTTGGTGGGGAAGGCCCCTCCGGACGTCCAGCACCAGTTCGCCGCTCGGCGGCCTGCTCGCCCCCTTCGCCCTCGAAGTCTTTCCACGGCCCCAAGAAGAACCCCTTGCGCGAAGGCCCATCTGCGACGTTCCGCTCACTCGGAATCCATGGCACGATGACTCAGATGCCAGTGGTAAGACTGAGCGCGGCGATCCGTCTCAGGATGCGCCGCAGGTGCTGAGGGCCTGAACGGCCCTTGCCACAACTGACAGCCAGAGCCAAATTGTCGACGAGAAATAGAATGCGCCGTCCGTGGTACCGAGAATTTCGAGCAACATGCCGCACAGCAAAGCACGGTGCCTCCCCCGCATACTCCAGAATGTTGAAACCATTTCGGCGATGACGACTTGAATGAATGATAGCCCAATCCTTCGAATCGTAAAGCACCAACGGCACCTCGATGAAATCCGAGATGGCGGCGACGTTCCCCTCCCCGAGCAGCACGGTCGAAGTTAGCGAGCATCCAGCAGCAGCATCTTGATGACCCGGAGACTCCTCTCCTCCTCGAAAAGCGAGTGATCTGGCAGAGATGGCCTCGGAAACTCTGTACCTGAATTTCTCGGCGACCCTGCCCGTGGACGAAACGACGACAGGGTCTCCAACCTTTTCGAGCACGCTCCCCTGACATGCGGCGAGGCGTCCGACGCATAGAAGTTGCCGAGCCACGGAACGCGAGCCGACGCCCACATCAACGGCAGCAGCGCAGCCACGGCTGAGAGTTCCTGTCGCACCGATGGCCATAACTTTATGGGAGTGGGCCCAGCACATTGGATGAAACGATAAACCCATTGAATATCGACAGGCACGCTCTCCGCATAATCATAGCCCACGCGGCGTGGCCTACGACATAAGTAATGGCCCCTCGCGCGGCGGAGCCGCGGGCCAGCAACGTCCGGATGGCTCGGCGCAGCTTGGCCAGGCGGTCGGGTCCCACGCGTAGCCTACCCGTCTTGCCTGAGAACTGAATGCCCGTGAGAACGCCGTCGCTCTGCGCCTCAGTGAAGTCATGCACAGGCACGCCCCATCGACGTGGGGAGCGTCGCCAGCTCCCGCGCCTTCGCGGTCGCCACCGACGCCGCCTGAGACGCGACGCAGAAGTTGTCGACGTAGCCCGCCGCCACAAGATCCGTCTTGGAGACCAACGGCTCAGGGGGCGCCCCATCGACCAAATGCCGACTGGGCTCGATGTCGACGTCAATCATGCCGCGCACCAGGGCGGACTGGCAGTAGAACGACGCCCATTTCCACCCCACGGGCATGGCGCGAACCGCGGGCTGCACGATGGCGTGGCCGCCAATGCACAGGTCACCGACCTTCTTCAGCCCGATGAAGCGATTCGAGATCGGAGGCAGGCGGAAGTAGTCGCTGACTCCGCTCGGAATCGCCAGGTGGTAGAAGGCGCACTGAGTATCGCCCTGGAGCACGTAAAAATCGCCCGTCGATTCCTGGGGCGCCCAGGCCGACGGCGTCGGCAGCACCGTGGTCGGCGGAGACTTGAAATAGGTGTTCGCAACCCTCGTGTCGAACACCAGGCGGAGCTTGCCCCCCGCCTTCTCGACGAAGAAAATCCCGACATAATAGGACGAAGAAGAGGAAGACACCACGCTCCACTCGATCAGATGGTGACGCAGCATCATGTCTAAATATTCAGCATACTTCCGAGGATTGCGCAGCTGCGGGTCGACGCAAGGCCGTTGAACGCCCGGCGTCTCCTGCAGCTCGCGGACCTCGGCATCGGATCTCAGCATACTCTGCCTCCAACCCTCCAACTGGACGGCGTCGGCCTGCTGCGCGAAGGAGGACACCTGAACGGGTGGCCCCGTGAGCGCGGGCCAGGCCACGAGGGCCTTGTCGCAGGGTTTGACCCGTGAGCTGTTCTGGTAGCCTGGGGTCGTCTCGAGCACCTCTACGAGGGATGCTTCACAAAACTGTCGTTGCTCACTGTAGCCAGCAGGCAACTCGAAACTGCGGCGCTGTTCCTGCAGCTCCTCGATAGCGACGCGCTGGGCCAGAGAGCCGTTCGTCGCCTGACCATCGCTGGGAGCCCCCTCAGCGCGACCATGGGGCAAGTTGTGGGCGGCGGCGCCCTCGCTGCACCGCCGGCGCCAGGCCGCGCCTCGGGCCGCGCGCTGCCGGGGTCGCCGCCCAGAGTCCGCGCGCAGCCTCGCGTCGACGTCCAGCAGAGGAAGCGGCAAGGCACCCCGCTGACGCTGGCGAGAGGCCCGCGGTGGGCCCGAGCCAGGCGGAGGCCCGAGGCGCCCGGGGCAAGACGAGCTGGGGCCCCCCCCAGCTCGCGTCAGCAGGGGACGTCATGGCGCCCGCAAGGCGCGCTCCTCGCGCGCCTTGCGTCGTTCCTTGGACACCGCCGCCTCGTTTTTCATCTGCTCTGCGATGAACTGCATCAGGGCGGGACAGATGCACAGGTTGCCCTTGGTCTCCCCGATGCCGAGGAAGTGGCCGACCTCGGTCGACAGGGGACCCTGGCCAGCCACCTCCTTCTTGCCCTGGCCCTTCACGGCCGCGGCGGCCTCGCGGGTCTTCCCGTCGTAAACCCTCCTCGATGAGCTGCAGCTGCCTCGCGGGATACTCGAAGCTCGCCAGCTCCGTGATGACCACTTGGTCGTGCACAAGCGCTATCTCGATGATGCGGCAGATCGACTCGCGCTGCTTCGCCGCCTCATCGTGCTCCGCGATGGCCATGGCGGCCAGCCAGCGCGCGTGCCACGCCACCGCGCCCCCCGCCATCCTGAGCATGAAGCTGAGGACCCGGAGGAGCGTCCGCGGGCCGAGGACGGGCCAGTCGTCGCGCTCGAGCTCGGTCTGCTCCTTCAGCGCGTCGCCGAACGAGCGGTCGCGGCGGCCGCGCGCGTCCCGCGCGACCAGCATGGTCCGCGGGTCGGCGCCAGGCCCCTCCAGCCCAGGTGGGGGGGCTGTGCCTCCAACGGCGGGGGCTGCGCCGAGCCCAGGCCTGAGGGCCGCCGCCAGCGCGTCGCCCAGAGGGTCAGGGGGACCACCCGCGGGCGGCTCCACCGCCAGGGCGGGGGCCGCGGCGGGCACCAGCGGCCCAGCAGCGGGAGGCAAGGCCACCGCCTGCGGGTCGCGGAGCGGCAGCAGCCCAGGCGCCATCCCGAGCACGTTGCCGTCGCCGAGGTGGAGCCTGAAGTCGTCGGCGGGCACCGCGCCAGCACCTCCCGCAGCGGCGAGGCGCAGCGCGTCCCAGATTTCCCCCGCCGTCGGCAAGCGCCTGAAGCGGTATACGCTGCCCGCCGCTACCCCGTCGACGGCCGCCCCCTGCCCCACGAGCAGCTTGAGGCTGCGCACGTCGCGAGAGGGAGCCTGATCTTCAGGATGCACGTCGAAGTCGGGGGTCGTGATATAGGCACCCATGATAACCAGCCGCTCATGCCAGATCCCGCGCCCTGGGACATTGAACTTTGCCGCGTAGAAGCTGCCTGGACCCAGAGCCATACCTTCAGCGGCCGATCAATGCTCTGCGACGAGCCGCGCGAGCCTGCTCTGCCGCAGCCCTCTCGAAGTCGGAGCCCGTGTCGTCAAACTGGGTCGCCTGCGAGCTCCCGACGCCGACGGCAAGCGGGGCAGGAGACGGAGTCCTCCTCCTCGAGCGCACCTCGCGGATCACGAGGACACCCGCGACCGCGACCCCCGCCACGAAGCCGTGAGAGAGCCCGAGAGCCCAGATCCAGCCAGAGCCCGCTCCGTCGACAACCGTCGACAGATGCCCCTCCCCCGACGGGCAGGAGCAGGTAAGGGGAGGGCACGTCAGAGTATGTGTACAGGAGCAGGCGGGGCAGGGGTCGGCCGCCGCACGAAGTATCACTGCAGTCTGGAGAGAGCGGATGAAATCGGGGACCGCATCTGCAAGGAAGGCTTGCATCCCCTGAAGGATTTGAGGCCCCCAAGAGCGAAGGGTGCCAGAAACCATCACGGGCAAGTTGCTGAAGCGCTCGTTCCGTTTCCGTGCCGACCCCAGGTCTCACAATAAGTTGGGGGCTACCGTTTTGGGGGGTCGAACAGGCCTCGTCAAACAAAACTTCGGGGGGGTGTCTCGACTTTGGACCCCCACTTGCCTCCCAAGGGGGGTCTACTTCGGGTTGTCATGCAAATCGTTTGGGGGGTCTACAGTGTGTTGACATCTGATGATGGCTTGGGGGGGTCCAGCTCCACGTCAGTCGCCAGCTCCCTGACGACGACGCCGACGCCGACGACCACGACGCCCGCGACAGCGACGATCACCGCGACGACGACGCCGACGCCGACGCCGAGGACGACAAAGCAGACGATGACGAAGAAGACGAGGAAGAGGACGACGACGAAGACGACGAGTCCAACTACCGCGACGACGACGACGATCAAGCCGTTGACGACGAAGAGAACGACCACGATAGCAAACGACAACGACACGGACGACGACGAAAACCACGACGAACCCGACGACGACGATGACACCGACGACGACGATAACACCACGACGATGAAGACGACACCGCGACGGCAAGAACGAATACGACGACGACGCCGACGACGACGACGACGACAAGCGCGCGGACGCGTCCACGCAGTTTCCAAATCCACACTTGACATGAAGAGAAACCTTCCGACAAACATAGGATTACAACTTTTCAGTGCGGGAAGAAAAACGCGACGACGGGTATACGCAAATTCTGCTCCCACAACTGCTGTTTTTGGACTGTCCAGCTCTCCTCTTCCTCTCCCCCTTCCTTTGCGTCCGCTGCCCTTGTTCCCCTCCTCTCTGTTCGGGGTCGTCGTCATCGGTGTCGTCGTCGGTGTCGTTGTCGGCGTCGTCGTCGGCGTCGTCGTCGCCCTCCTCGTCGTCGTCCTCGTCGCTGGTGTCGTCGTCGTACTATCTCGGTGTTGCCTTTGTCGTCCTCGACGTCGTTGGTGTCATCGCCGTCGCTGACGTGTGCGTCATCGTCGGCGTCGTCGTCTCACTCACTGTCGTTGTCAGTGCCGTTGTCGTAGTCGTCGTCGTTGTCGTCGATGCCGTCGTCGGAGTTACCGTCGTCATCGGTGCCATCGGTGTCGCCGTCGTCGTCGACATTGTCGCCGTTGTCACCGCACTCGCCGCCGTCCTCACCGATGTCATCAGCGTCGTCGTCGTCAGCGTCGTCGTCGTCGGTGTTATCGTCGTCGTCGGTGTTGTGTCTTCGTCGTCGTCGCCGTCGTCATCGTCGCCATCGTCGTCTTCATTGTAATTGTGGTCGTCGTCGATGTCGTCACTGGCGCCATCGTCGGCGTCGTCTTTCTGGGGGGGTCCAACAGTGTGTGCCTCAACGCTTCTCTGTGGGAGAATCCGCCGACCCCTTGTGGGTCTCTAGGCGTGTGAGATAGTTCCCCCCCCTAACCCCCCCCCTGGGACCCCAAACCGGAGATTCGACCCCCCCCCCCCCCGGGCCCACCACGAGCGCATCACGGGGCTCTTTTGGGCCCAAAAGGGGATCAAGACGGGCCAAGAAGGCCCCAAGACTCCTCCAAGACGGCTCACGAGAGCTCCGAGGCGCCAAACGAGCGCTCCCAGACGCCCAAGATGCCCCCAAGACGAGCCTAGAGGCCTCCAAGACGGCCCAAGAGGCCTCCAAGAGCAGTCCTGAGAAGGGCCGAAGCGCCGAAAATCGTCAAATTCCTATGGGAAAACGTACATTTTGATCATATACTACCTGTCGGCCTTCACGGCGTTGAAGACGGTCCCAGAGCACCCCAAGACCGCCCCGAGAGGCCCCCAAGAGGCGCCCAAGTCGGCCCAAGAGGGCGCCAAGACGGCCCAAGAGGCCCCCAAGACAGCCCAAGAGGGCCCCAAGACAGCCCCAAAAGGTGCCCAAGAGGGGGAGCCCGAACCGACAATTCGAGCCTTCCGCCCCAAGACGGCCCCAGAAGGCCCCAAGAGGCCCCAAGAGGCCCCCAAGACGCCCACAAGAGGCCCCAAGAGGCCCCCAAGAGGCTACAAAACGGCCTCAAAACGGCCCCCAAGAGGCTTCGAAACTGCCTCCAAGAGTCCCGCGAGAAGCCCCCCAAGAGATCCCAGGGCCTCGAGATGACCCCAAGCGGATTCCACATGGCCCCAAGAGAGGTCATTATGGACCCCTACACGACTCCCCAGCCCGATTCAAGCGAGCCGGCAAGACCGCCAAGATGAGGGGTCGGCGGATGTGGCGTAAGCCTATAGAATCTAAATCGAAACGTCAAACGATGCTTCTGGGGGGTCTGGATTTTGGTGCGGTTGCGCCGCTCGTGGGGAGGGGTCCAAAACGAGCAGTCAAACACTTTCTTGACCCCCCTCCAACTCTTGTGAGATCCGGAATAGCTTTGTTCGGCCCTGGCAGCCCCGACGGGCGGATCCGGACGGCGAGCCCTGTGGACTGCGGCTTGACGTGCGAGAACGCGACCCGCACGCACTCCACCGTCCCGAACCTCAGGCACCCGCGAGGGGGGGGGGTTCAGAAGGCGGGCATGCGAGGTGGGGAAGAGGAGGAGAGAGAAGAAGGAGGAGAGAGAAGAAGAAGGAGGAGGAGGAGGAGGTGGAGCGCAGCTGAGAAAGGAGGAGGAGAATGAGGAGGAGGAGGAGGAGGAGGAGGAGAAGGAGGGGGAGGAGGAGGAGGAGGAGGAGGAGGAGGAGGAGGAGGAGGGAGGAGGAGGAGGAGGAAGAGAAGGAGGAGGAGGAAGAGGAGCTGGGAGGGGGGGGGCCAGGCAAGCCGTCTTCGCGCTTCGCGACCTGCGGCGCGCGACCTGTTCTCTTCGCGCGCTCGCGCTGCCAACCTCGAGAAGGGCAGCTCTCCCGGCCCAGACCGCGATGCTCGAAGCGCGGCTCGCGCCCCCGCGGATCAGGGGACAAGGGGTAAGAGGGGGACGAGAGACTCGCTACGAGGAGAAGCACGAGAATGCGCGGGGGTCGCCGAGTCAAACGCCACAAGCCGACCAACCCTGGAAGACCCTGCCACCCTCTGGCTTCTGGTTTGTATGGAAGAACCGATGCAAATGGTAGGCATCAGCCAAGTGTCCACAAAGCTCGCGCGAAGGTTGAGCAATGCCTGCTTGCTATTACGAGGAATGCAATGCATGCCATACAGTGACCTCGGCCCTGCCGCCCTCGTAGCCCTCTTCTCAGGCCGCGCGGGTGGAAGGACGCATTGGGATACCAGAGGATCCGTTTATGTACCACCTCTGCGCCCTCGATCATGCAGACGCGACCGTGGGGGGGAATGGTGCATATCGTCATGGCGCCGAATCAGACCTGCCCGGATTGGTGCACAGTCCACCCGTATCGCTTTCATGTATGAAGACCCCGTACCCCGAAAACAGCCCCAGGGAACTCCAAACCGAGTAAGAACGCTGAGATTGAAAAGATCAGCCCGCAGGAGATTTGGGCGTCAGAGACCCCGAATGTTCTCCAGAGGGCTCCACACGTTCAGAAAAAAACGGGGGGATGGAGGGAACTCGATGACCTTCCTCCTCCTCCTCCTCCTCCTCCTCCGCCTCCTCTACTTCTCCACCTCCTCCTCCTCCTCCTCCTCCTCCTGATCTTCCTCCTCCTGTCGCGCCCCCAGACGTGTCGGTAAGGTGGGCCAGGCGTTTCACCTGAGACTTCCTCACTGCTTATGACCCTGAAGCTTGAAACTTGCAACACTTTCACGGATGGAAAACGGGCAGTTCTCAAAGTATGGATTCCGCCTTAGCGCCGCACGCATTCGCTTTAAATGTTTGCAACAATTTCCCGGATGGAGGGCGGGCCGATTTCAAAATGTGGCTCTCGCCTTAACGCCGTGCACATTCGTCTTCAATGTTTGCAACCGCTTCACGGAAGGAGGGCGGTTCATGTTCAAAACGCAGTTCTCGCCTTAGCGCCGCACATGTTCGTCTTTAAAGTCTACAGCAGTTTCAAGAGTTCGTATGGCTGATGTCCCTGAAGGAAAGGTCTGGCACGAGCTTAAATTTTCAGGACGCAGCAATCACGTTGATTCGCGGTGGGAAAATCCAAGGAATGTTCTGGCACTGTTTAAGGTTGTCAGGACGCAACAATTACGTCGATTCGCGGCGCGCTGAAGTCTCAAGAAGTGCGTGCGATTGGAAAGTCTGGAAAGGTTGTTTTCCAATTGAGCTCTTCTTGCAATGAAAACCTGATCGGACAAAAACGGGAAGCGCCGCTGTAGTCTAATGGGCGTATTGGGCGAAGAAGAAAAGGAAGGCGAGGACAACGAGGAGTCGATGACGAGGACGACGTGGCGAACGTGAGGATAACGAGGAGGAGCATGAGGACAACGAGGAGAAAGAAAAGCACAAGGACGAGGACGAAGAGAACGAGGGCGAGCACAAGGAGGAATGCGGAGGGCGATGATGACGACGACGACGACGACGACGACGACGACGACGACGACGACGACGACAGACAGAGGACAGTACGAGGCAATTGGAAAAAGACACTGCTTCTGGCGCTGCGCGGGGTTCTCTTGGGGCCTGTTAGGGGCTTCTTGGGGGCCCCTTGGGTCCTCTTGTGGGCTTCTGGGGTCTTCTTGGGCTGTCTGGGCGCGTCGTGGGGTTCTGTGGGAGCTTTCTTAGGCCGTCTCGGCGCTAGGGGCCTCCTGGGGCGCTCCCGTGAGTCTCTTAGGGCCTTCTTGGCCCTTCTCGGGCCGTCTTGGGGTTCTTGTGAGCTGTCTGGGTGGCTCCTAACGCGCTCTTGGGGGTCTCTTGGGGTCTTCTTGGGGCGCTCTTGGGCGCTCCTGGGGCTCTCCGGGGCGTCTTTTGGGCCTGGCTTGGGCCGTTGGAAAGCCCTCCAAGAGCGATTCGAACACGACGTCGATGCGGAGTCCCCTCTTGGGCCGATTTTTGGAGGATCTCTCGAGCGAAACTGCCATTTTTCAGAAATCCGCCAGCGCAGTTTCCAAGTGCGCCCCGTACCCCGTCATTAATTTCAACCACCAACAAACGGTCCACGCCAAGGGCGCTTCCCGTCATCCGCCGACACCTGCTTGCCGGGTGTGAAAAGCGTGTGAAACATTTGGCTGTCCCTCTCGGCCGTTGACCCCCTCCCCACGGGTCGAAAATCGCATTTAAGAGGGGGGGCGCTCCTTGGTTCCATAACGCACCTCTGGGGCCTCTGGAACCTCCAACTCTACACAACGTGGAATCTCAACTGGCTCAAGCTGGGCTCAAGCACGCCGAGGAGCACTCAAAAACCACCAAAATCGCCTCTTTGATCCCACCCCCTCCTCCTTGTCCTCCTACCTCCGCGTTGGGTTCCAGGTTGCCGCGCGAATGGAGGCATACGTCACCGCTAAGTCATTTACCGAAGGCGCGGAGCGCAGTTATGACTAATACGGTTGGAAGGTGTCAGGACGAGGCGGCTCGTCTGAACGTGGGCGTGTGATTGCAAGGAAGCGTCTCGCATCGACCTTCATTGGCAGCGTTCGTCACGCTGCGGCCACGAATCGCCAGCGCGACTTTTTCTCGCGGCGTTGCTGCTATGACGTCGCATATGTGGTACATAAAGGTGTGTACCTGCTACCAGGGCTTGGCACCAAGGGAAGTGATACAATCGTCCAGTGTTGGCTTCTGTCAATGCATTTGTTGCGGATTTGGCCGAACCCTGGGGGATCGTCGCTTGATAGGAACATTCCGCCAGACGGTCTGACCGAATGAGGCTGGCCTCAGAATCCAGAGGGTGACATCGCAGTCCCTGGCAATGCACCGTCACCTGTGCTAAAACATCCGAACAAAACTTGGTCGATTTCGCCGTGGTTTGCTGCAAGTTCTCGCATCGACTCAAGTCTCTGGTCTTCTCGCTGTGGAGTGGAAATCCCATATTGGGCTACAGAGGACGGAGGAACCAGGGAAGGAGGGATGGAGAGAGGGAAAAGGGAGGAGGGAGGGAGGGATGATATGAGATGGGACCAATCACAACGTGATCAAAAGCAAGCCTCGCCACCCGGACCTCGTAGCCGAACATGACGAACACGCAGACGAACGCGGAGGTGGCCAGGAAGACGAGGATGAGGGGTTCCACGCAACACACACACACCCCTGCTGCATCACGAAGGAGCCCCAAACATCGAGCTTCACATCTGCTTGCAGTCCGCCCTCACATCCGAATCCGCGGAACGTGCGGGCGGGGCGGAGCTGGCCATCTCCGTCGCGGCCGCCGCGAAGCCACGGGACAGCTCGCCCACGTTGACCTCTGGCCGCTGCGGCGTCGGCCCCCTGTTCGGGACGCCGACTGCGCCCCCTGCCCTCGCGGCCACCTCCGCTGCGCGTTCACCTCGAACGGCAAGACGTCGGCCAGCAGAAAAGCTCCACCACGACCGCGAGCTGCGGCAGCGACAGCCGCCGCCTGCGCCGCCTTGGCCTCACGGACTCTCTTGATATCCAGTTGCAGCTGCCATTCCTCGATGCACTCGGTCAAGGCGGGCACCGAAGCGTCGGTGGAAGGGGCGGGGCCGCACTCAGCGCCGATCTCGACCTGCACCGAGTGGAACCCGGCGCCTCTGCCATCGGCGTACACCTGCGTGGGATCGCCCACGGCCCCGAATGGCCCGCAAGGCTCGTCCTCCAGAGTCGTCAAGTCCGCGACCACGACGACGGCGGCGGCGGCGGTCGCAGCGGCAGGGCGGTGATCGTGATCCCCCGTACGGGCCTGAGCCACGCTGCTGTGCGCGGCCGTAGGCGGGGCAGTGATCCCCGTAGGGCCCTCCAACGGCGGCTCCACGCCCAGGCCCGAGAATACGACGGCGCCGCACGTGCACCGCATGCCCTCAGCACCCGGCTCCTGGGACGGAAGGCGGAGCCATGGCTCGCAGGCCTCCACCGCGAGCACTGACGCCTGGCGATCTCTCAGGCCGCTCCTAGCGCTGGGCGGCTCGCAACTCGGAGGACCAAAGAGTCGCCACCTGCAAGCCCTCGGCGCGCGCGTGCAAGGCTACGTTCCTGCGCAGCCTCTGCAGCCACGTCGGCTGCTCGCCGCGGAGGAGCGCTGTAAGGCACGGGAGGAGGGCGGCCAAGCGGTCGAGCAAGAACTGGTCTCCGCACAACTTCTCGACGGTCCGCTCCAGCTGCAGCCGCTGCTCCTGCACCTCGGCGAGCTCGGCCGAGAGGCGCCTGACCAGCCGATCTGCGCAATCCTTGGCTGCGCGACGGGCGCAACTGCTCTCCAGGTTCTTCTCCGGCAGTCGCTGCACACACCGCAAGCGAAGCGGCGGCGGCGTCCCGCGCCGCCACGGGTCCTGCGCGCCGAGAGCGGGCGGAACACCTGGCCTTGAGCCAAGATGGCTACGGAGGAGGGAGGGAGGGAGGGAGAAAGTGAGGGAGGGACGGCAGGAGGACCACGAGGGAGGGAGGGAGGAAGGGAGGGAGGAGAGAGGAGGAGGGAGGGAGGGAGGGGGGGAGGGAGGGAGGGCAGGAGGACCACGAGGGCGCGTCGGCGGCGACTCTCGGCTCTTTGCCGAGGCTGGGCCCCGGGCGCGGAGTAGTGGCTCTCGAGCGCGGCCCCTCGCGGCGGCCACGGGGGTAGGCCCATCCACATCCCGATCCTGCCTCCTGCCTCCGGTTGTTCCGAGCACGCACCTGGCGAAGTCGCGCGTCGCATCAACCTCCCTTCTCCCTCCTCCCATCCTCCTTCTTCCTCCCTCCTCCTTCCACCTCCTTCGCCTCCTCATCCTCCATTCCTCCTCCTCCTCCTCCTCGTCCTCCTCATCCTCCTCCTCCTCCTCCTCCTCCTCTCCCTCCTCTTCCTCCTCCTCCTCCCCTCCTCATGTTGTTTTTCCTCCTCCTCCTCCTCCTCCTCCTCCTCCTCCTCATCATCATCATCATCATCATCATCAGCAGCAGCAGCAGCAGCATCGTCATCATCATCATCACCACCACCACCATCATCATCATCATCAGCATCAGCAGCATCATCAGCATCATCATCATCAGCATCAGCACAGCATCAGCATCAGCATCAGCAGCAGCAGCAGCATCATCATCATCATCATCATCATCATCATCATCATCATCATCATCATCATCATCATCATCGTCCGCCCTAGGGCCGCGCACATTCGTTTTACTAAGTTGCAAGAGTTTCACGAATTGAGGGCAGGTCGTTTTCCAAACGTGGCGCTCGCCTTAGCGCCGCGCACACTCGTTTTCAAAATGTTCCAAAGTTTCGTGCATTCCCAGGGCTAGCCTTCCCGAAATTGTGAGCGATTCAGGATTGTCAGGGCGCAACAGTTCGCCAGATCAGTCCTCACAATAAGCTTGATGCCTTAACGCTTCTCACTGCCCTGGTCATTGCAAGCGCCTCTCGGATTTAGTTTCGGATCCTAAGGGGCACGACCCGTTCTAGTATGATCACTCAGAGCAGCCTACCAGGACAATTCCCCAGCAAGAGGCCGCCACCCAGCTGGCCAGGGCCCAGGAAGATAGACCCCCCAGGAGGCACCAAGAGCGCCCCAATTGTGCTCAAGACTCCTGCATTCCCATGGCCCAGCTCGTGCGTGAAGAGTTTTGTGAAGGTCAAGTTGGAGGCGTCGTGCCCTCCCACGGCTGCAGGGGTTGTAGCAGACTCGAACACATCCAGCCGTGCGCTCGTCCTCCTCCCTTTGGGTAGGGGCGCAAGGCACACGGGTCCACGACGAGGTCCCCCTCGAAACGTAACCAGAACATACTTCTGGATAGGTACAGTGGTCGATTTCTGGGGGAACACTGTTTGAGGAACCTTCGGCTGACTGAACTCCGGGAGGACGCCAACTGTGCATATGCACCGACCAAGGCCAGGCCAATCCTGGGACCCGGATCGGTGTACGCGCCATTCGAGCTTGGCCACGGAGGCAAAATACAACGATCCTGGGCCCAGGATAGGCCTGGTCAGGGCAGGTGTATATGCATAGCAATCGTTGCCCGAAACTTTCCAGTCCGGGCGTTCATACAAGATTTTCTGGCAGATCTTGCCAGGCGCCTGAACAATGCAGAATGGATGCGGCACGAAACACGGACCCAGACCTTTCGGCGGACTGAACGTCGCAGTCCCAGTGCTCATCCTACATGTTCTGGCGGCTGCTGTCGAGCCCTGGGATAATGCAAAATGGGGTCGGTACGAACATCTGCCCCGAGAAGGGTCGAGACCTCTGGAGCCGAGCACGCACCCCTAAGAAAATGAGTGCTACGTACCGCGAACAAGCATAAGCCAATCAATGAGCGACTAGTAGAAAATCGGTAGGCAAAAGAGGGCAACTGGTGAGTAACAAACGGACGACCAAAGAAAAGACGTATGCACCTGGTTCGGACTTCCGCCATCCGAGCCAAGGGTTCCTGCGAACGAGATGCTTGAGGTACTCAGCCGAGCAAATCGGGCGGGAGATCAACCAAACAAAACACATGGCAAGGCACTCGACTACGGGGACCCGTCAACTACAGCGGCCACTCTCATAGATGAGAAAAGCGGTGCTTTCGACAATTGTCGTAGAACATATTTCAGAAACCCTGGCCAACAGCTACCTCGCCGTGCCCTAGGGCCCCCATGAACTCCTCGGCCCTCTCAAAAAGGCTCGCCTCAGACGCCCATGTAAGGCCACCGATGCGGCGCGTCCGATGAATCCCCACATGACCGTGCACTTCCAAAGACCGCCCATCACGCTGAAGGTCGCAGACTGATCTCCACGGGAAACAGACAACATCGATGCCCCGATGGCACGAGAACCGAAACGGTATGCAACCCGACCCGGCGACGGTCAAAAGAACATGTCAGAATGGGGGAAGCAACACCTGATCACAACCCGTGCCGCAACGAGATGCCAGCATGGAAATCCGAAGCGATTATGCACGCATCATGTGACCCAGAAGCAAGCACAGCGTTTGAATATTGCGAGCGTGTTCGAAGCGACTCGCGAGGTGCCCTGCCAATCTCGTCTTTCATGCTGGCCAAATACCAAGCGAGAAGAAGCGACTGGTCTCGTGATGCTACACGCTCCACAACAAGCAGGAGGGGATCATGTCTGGCGCTGGCCTGACTGGAAGCCAAGCTTGCTGATCTTCCGGACCTGGACCTCGGCGTCTCTGAAAGTATACAGAAGGTCCACTGAAATGGTTCTCGGGCCGGTGCTAGACCCCCTCTCCACACCCCTTCCCTGGGGGTGTGGAAGTGTCAGCGACGGCTGTCGCTGCCAGCCGCTATCTGCTCTTCGTTCTCTTGCTGGGGACACCCAAGCGGCAACCCAGGGCCACCACGGAACCAAAAGTTCAAAGCGGTCCTCCCATTGCTAAAATGGCGCGGCGCGTTCAAGTAGCAACGCAGGGTCCAATGCGGCTGAAAAAAACACCCCTGACAGGTGGCGCGAAGGCGCGGGGCGCATGGGTTGGGGGTCCGCACGAGTCCCGGAGCCCCAGGCCCCACAGGGGCCCACGAAAAACGCTCCAGGAGGGGTCTCACCAAGGCCGCGCAAGCCAACGATATGTGTGTATATATATATATATATATATATCCCTTTTCCCTATCAAATGATAAGGGACCCCCCCCCCAGATGGGCGTCCCCGAATTCGCCACCCCCCCGGACGGGCTCAAGACAACCCCGAAAATGCCTGAAATTACCGCCAAGCTGGTCCGACCAGCCCCAGAAGCCTTCCAAGACGCCCACAGATCGCTCTAAGATGCCCCATTTCGTCACAAGACGGCCCAAGAGGCCTCCAAAACGCCCCACACGGCCCCAAGACGGCCCAAGACGGTGCAAGAGACTCCCAAGACGGCCCAGGAGACCCTCAAGACGGCTCCAAGAAAGGCTCCACGACGACAAGGGTCCCCCCCCCGATGGGCGTCACCTACTTCGCCCCCCCACGCAGGTGCTCCGGACGGGCTCAAGACAGCTCCGAGAATGCCCGGCATCTTGGACAACCTCTGTCCGATGTACTTTTCCTCCGCGAACCCCTGGGGGGCACGCGCGCACACCCTCGCGCACGCCGACAACCCGTCCCTCCGCGCCTCCTGCTCAAACCTCCTCCCCAGCCTTCCACACTCTTCGCCCGCGTCTGTGCATCCACTCTCCCTCTGAACACTCCCCACCGTTACTCTCCCCTCAAACCGTCCCCACCCGAGCCATCCACCTGGACCTTCCTCCTCCCACTCATCTTCCCTGTTCCTCGTCACCCCTATTCCTCGTCCTCCTCATCCACGCCGTCCTCCTCTTCCTCCTCCCCTTTATCCCGCAGTTGGTTCGGCCCGTTGGGTGGCTCCGCGCCCCCAGACATGCTCTTTCCTTACGAAAACCCATACCCACGACAGCCCCTCGACGCCGGCGTGCCCGGAGGGCGCCAGACGCACCCAAAATTGGTTCGGCCCGTTGGGTGGCTCTGCGCCCCGGGACATGCTCTTTCCTTACGAAAACCCACACCCACGACAGCCCCTCGACGCCGGCGTGCCCGGAGGGCGCTAGACGCCCCCCATCCGGGCCCGAAAAAGAACAAGCAGCCGTCAACGTGAACCAAAAGTTGGTTCGGCCCGTTGGGTGGCTCCGCGCCCCAGGACATGCTCTTTCCCTACGAAAACCCACACCCACGACAGCCCCTCGACGCCGGCGTGCCCGGAGGGCGCCAGACGCCCCCCATCCGGGCACGAAAAAGAAAAAGCAACCGTCAGCGTGAACCAAAAATTGGTTCGGCCCGTCGGGTGGCTCCGCGCCCCGGGACATGCTCTTTCCTTACGAAAACCCACACCCACGACAGCCCCTCGACGCTGGCGTGCCCGGAGGGCGCCAGATGCCCCCCATCCCGGGCCCGAAAAAGAACAAACAACCGTCGACGTGAACCAAAAATTGGTGCGGCCCGTCGGGTGGTTCCGCGCCCCGGGACATGCTCCTTCCTTACGAAAGCCCACACCCACGACAGCCCCTCGACGCCAGCGTGCCCGGAGGGCGCCAGATGCCCCCCATCCCGAGCACGAAAAAGAAAAAGCAACCGTCAGCGTGAACCAAAAATTGGTTCGGCCCGTCGGGTGGCTCTGCGTCCGCGCACATGCTCATTCCTTACGAAAACAGACACACACTCACACTCACACACACACACACTTACACACTTACACTTACACTTACACTTACACTTACACTTACACTTACACTTACACTTACACTTACACTTACACTTACACTTACACTTACACTTACACTTACACTTACACTTACACTTACACTTACACTTACACTTACACTTACACTTACACTTACACTTACACACACACACACACGCACGCACGCACGCACGCACGCACGCACGCACGCACGCACGCACGCACGCACGCACGTACGCACACGACGGCCCCTCGGCGCCAGCGTGCCCGCAGAGCGCCAGACGCTCCCATCTGGGGCCCCGAAGAAAAAAACAGCCGTCGACGTGAACCAAAAATTGGTTCGGCCCGTCGGGTGGTTCTTCACTTCCAAACATGCTCACCCCTTACAAAAAAAATCCCGGCAAAGCAACCTAACAGCGATGTGTAAGAGCATGTCTGGAAGCATTCCCCTTAAGATTCAGATGAGAACCCTGTTGTGAAATTCTGCTGTTCTCGCAGTCGTAGTCGCATTCTCGATGGCAGTCGCAGCGGCAACGGCAGTCGCAGTCACAGCCTCAGCCTCAGCCTGCCTCAGCCTCAGCCTCAGCCTGCCTCGGCCTCAGCCTGCCTCAGCCTCAGCCTCAGCCTGCTTCAGCCTCAACATCAGTCTGCCTTCAGCCTCGGCCTCAGCCTCAGCCTGCCTCAGCCTGCCTCAGCCTCAGCCTCAGCCTCAGCCTGCCTCAGCCTCAGCCTCAGCCTCAGCCTCAGCCTCAGCCTGCTTCAGCCTCAGCCTCAGTCTGCCTTCAGCCTCGGCCTCAGCCTCAGCCTGCCTCAGCCTCAGCCTGCATCAGCCTCAGCCTCAGCCTCAGCCTGCCTCAGCATCAGCCTGCCTCAGCCTCAGCCTCAGCCTCCTCAGCCTGCTTCAGCCTCAGCTCAGCCTCAGCTCGGCCTCAGCCTGCCTCAGCCTCAGCCTCAGCCTCTTCAGCTCAGCCTCAGTCTCAGCCTCGGCCTCAGCCTCAGCCTGCCTCAGCCTCAGCCTGCTCAGCCTCAGCCTCAGCCTCAGCCTGCTTCAGCCTCAGCCTCAGCCTCAGCCTGCCTCACCTCAGCCTCAGCCTCAGCCTCAGCCTCAGCCTGCCTCAGCCTCAGCCTGCCAGCCTCAGCATCAGCCTGCCTCAGCCTCAGCCTCAGCCTGCCTCAGCATCAGCCTGCCTCAGCCTCAGCCTCAGCCTGCCTCAGCCTCAGCCTCAGTCTGCTTCAGCCTCAGCCTCAGTCTGCCTTCAGCCTCGGCCTCAGCCTCAGCCTGCCTCAGCCTCAGCCTGCATCAGCCTCAGCCTCAGCTCAGCCTCAGCCTGCCTCAGCATCAGCCTGCTGCTCAGCCTCAGCCTCAGCCTGCCTCAGCCTCAGCCTCAGCCTCAGCTTCAGCCTTCAGCCTCAGTCTGCCTTCAGCCTCAGCCTCGCCTCAGCCTCAGCCTCAGCCTCAGCCTCAGCCCTCAGCCTGCATCAGCCTCAGCCTCAGCCTCAGCCTGCCTCAGCATCAGCCTGCCTCAGCCTCAGCCTCAGCCTGCCTCAGCCTCAGCCTCAGCCTGCTTCAGCCTCAGCCTCAGTCTGCCTTCAGCCTCGGCCTCAGCCTCAGCCTGCCTCAGCCTCAGCCTGCATCAGCCTCAGCCTCAGCCTCAGCCTGCCTCAGCATCAGCCTGCCTGAGCCTCAGCCTCAGCCTGCCTGAGCCTCAGCCTCAGCCTGCTTCAGCCTCAGCCTCAGTCTGCCTTCAGCCTCGGCCTCAGCCTGCCTCAGCCTCAGCATTCAAAATGTGGCCCGGGAATGGTGTTCTGGGAACTTGAAGAACACGAAGTGGCCTACAGTTGGCTCCGGGCATTCAAAATCATGCCCAGGAATGGGGTTCTGGGAACTCGAAGACCACAAAGTGGCCTACAGTTGGCTCCAGGCATTCAAAATGTGGCCCGGGAATGGTGTTCTGGAAGTCCAAGAACACGAAAGGGCCTACAGTTGGTTCCGGGCATCCAAAATGTGGCCCGGGAATGGAGTTCTGGGAAATCGAAGAGCACGAAGTGGCCTACAGTTGGCTCCGGGCATCCAAAATGTGGCCCGGGAATGGAGTTCTGGAAGTCGAAGAGCACGAAGTGGCCTACAGTTGGCTCCGGGCATTCAGAATGCGGCCCGGGAATGGAGTTCTGGGAGGTCGAAGAGCACGAAGTGTGTGACTGTTTGCGAAAAACGAATTCGGACACGAGTTCGGACACAGCTCCCCGGATGCCGCCCCGACCCCCCTGTGGAGTCATCTGCTGCTTTCTTTTGACCCCACTAGAAACCTATCAGCAAAAGCTGTTAGGTAAACAAACACACGCCCACGCAGCCCTGAGCCGTCGAGCTCGCGACAAACATCAAGTTTACACCCCTATGGTAATGAAAGTTCACGAGCTCGCCACATTCTGTGACCACAGCGCGGCGAGGCACCAGACCCGCGCTCCTGCGCCAAGGATGAGGATGAGGGACAAGATGTTGTGGCGAAGCGAAGCGATCCAACAATATATTGTGTATCTGTATATATATATATATAGATACTAGAACCTGAGCGCGCGCTTCGCGCGCGCTCAGGTTCTAGCCCAGGCCGGGGGGGCGCTGGACGATCTTGGACAACGCTATCAAGCACAGGCGCGCGACGGCATCAGAGGAGCTTCTGGGGTGTTCCGCATGCTTCGTCAACTGGCTGTTGGAGGCACCTCTTGGGTGCTTCTTGGGGGGGCGTCTGAGGGTCCCTTGGGGGCATCGGTTCTGCAATCTGAAGCCGTCATTGGCCGTCTTGGCTGCGTGGAAACCCGACTTGAGGCCACCTGCGGCCAGATTGAGACAATCCGGAAGCCTCCCGGGGGCCTCCTGGAAGCAGTTTTGACGCATCGAGGGCACTCTTGGGCTATCTTAAAGCCTCTTGGACGTCTCCTAGGGGCCTTTTAGGCCCTCGGGAAGCTTTGGGGTCCTCGTCGGACCACTTGGGG